ACTTCTCCTTGACGTGTAGGATACGCCAGGCACTTCAAGGACAACCACATTTGAAATTAATCACGCTGCCGTCTTGTCTGACATAAGACACGTTAGAAAATTAGAACTTTGTATAACGTTTCCCTTATTTTGTAAAATCTTCTTCCTTATCCTTTATGAATACCAGCAAGATTGTGCCTTTTCTAGTGCCACTTTGTGGCTACATTGTGAATCCAATTTGTGTCTTTCAAGTTTTCAGTCTCGTCTGGGTCGCCTCTTAAATGGTACAGCTTAATAGATTTTGTCAATAATTTCTTACAAATGGAGTATCGCAATAAAATAAATAACACTGATGTATCTGCAGGCGAAATCGCTTCAAGTTTCAGTTCTGTCAGATTACCCTGCCTTCTCAAACTTGACTGAGCCAATCTAACTGAGCTGCCAGCTAAGCTAATAAGTTCTACATTCACTTATAATAGCTCTTTGTTCAAGGTCATTTGAAAAAATTTGGTTACAGAGCTCCTCTGGCAAGTAATCTTTCGAAGTTGTTGAGGTTTATTCTTTCGAAGTTGTCAAGGTTTATTACAAGTGTGCCAGGTTTCCCTCCTAAATTATGGGTAGGCTTCAGTTTCACTTATTTGGCCCATTCATTTTCTCAAGGGATCAAGCCCAGATTGACTTCAAATTGTTGGTTGTTGTTGTTATTTAGTTAACTATGCTCACTAGTTAATGCCCGGAAATTGTTGATAAATTGCAAAAAAATTAGAAACTTGTACGCATAAAAGCGAACGTAGGTAAACCTAGAAAATAGCTGCTTCCACGGCAACCACGATGAAAGAGGATGCGTGGCTTATTCACATGGCTCACTACTGGCATATTTGGAAGGATGAGAAGTGTTAGTTACTTCAGTGCGTTTTCCTGGCTATATCCTTGAACCCCTCTACTAAAAGTTACAGGACGAGCGCCAGCAGTTCCCCTAAAAACGTATGATAGATAGCGAGAAGAAGCTGTGAAATGAGGATTTAAAAATATTACGTAAACTGCTTTGTGTTGTGAACATTATATCACTATCAGGGAATTTTCAGAGAAATTGTGAAAGACGGTAGGTAGGAGGTGAAGAGAGCTTTACCAGAGAAAGAGGAATCTCGATGTGGAGAGGGGCCTATTCGCACAAATCTCCCCGAAGGACGTGCCCGAGCAAATTCCTGAAAATGTGTTGGGAAGGGGCAGCAAAATTTGCGTCAAAGATGTATATGAATGTTCTTATAGACGAAAAGGTTTGAATAACTGAAAACTCCTTGTATCGATTGCCAATGAATGCAGCCGTTGAAACCTGTCCTATAAAGAATGTTCTACGAGCACCGTGTCGCCAGTAAATCTTCCATGGAAATCAGTCGTAATGTATAACCTACTGGATATTCTAGTTTAGCCATTACCCGACGTATTTACGTACTTTTTTCTCCACCGTACTCTGGTTTTTTTCGTTTTTGAATCCCAAATGTCACGTGATAGAGAGGAATTGTCGGCTTCGTTTTGATGTCAGTATCTTAAAATCAACAAAAGAGAGACGAAAGTGACCGAGAGAGAGTTTTCAAGCTGCTGACGGATGAAAAACGAAATCGAAAGGAAATCGTTCATTCTCAAAACCGACAGGTCATGGCAGTATTTCAGTCAATCACTGTGTGCGTGTGTGTGTGTTTTCTCAGTCGAAGGTTACGATCCCCACGCATCGGTCATAAACCCGAGTCAGACTCATACACGCACACACACGCACAGTTCTCTTAACGCACACCTATGAATAATATACGTACTCGCATACGAATACTTTATTCGACAGGTGATCGGGAGGGGGAAGTCTTATCGAGGTTGGGAAGGGGTTAAGCTGGACAAGGGCGGCGTTTCTAGAAAGTTTCTGGTTCTAGGATCTCGCTCCTAGCTCCTCAAAAGGTTAATAGGAGGACAGGGCTCAACTTTGCTCTGAGTTCTGCTGAGCACAAAGACTGAGACAGGACGTAATCGAACATTTTCAGCAGAAACGCTTGCCCTGAGACGCTTCTGATGGCCAAATATGGCCTCTTGGCAACCCACAGGCTACCCGGAAGTCCCCCTAACAGAACCTTTCAGTTACGGCGCCATCAAACCCATATATATGGTATATAGTTGTATTACGATTATTTCGTCAGCTGGCGGTCGCCCTGCCGGTAGGTGGGACAGCGCAGCGGGTGTTCGACGGCTATTGGTCGGTTACGGTAACGGCGAGGCGGGTTCGTGACGGGGGCGTGGTCCTGGTGGAGCGGCTTGCACACCGGCGACCGACGCGCATCGCGCGGCCTTATAAAACTTTTTAACTATCCACTTTACTTTGTTAGTGGCGCGTTTTATTGTATGATGGCTATTTGCTGCCCCTCTACGACGTACGTATCGAATAGGAAGTGTTCATTCGGCATGTGTTTGATAGCGAGCTTTCGGGACAATGTCCACGGCTGTCCGGATGTCTCATTCATATAGTGACAGGCAACCACAAACATATATACATACACATTAATGACCATTAAGTATGGTTATGGCACACTCGTTAACTATCGAGAATCACACTCATATTGTCGGCTGGCGATAGGGTGTTAAAGGACTTTACGGGTTGTCGTTAAGCTGTCGTTTGGGAATTTATTCGGCCGCAACTGTGTATGTGGGGGAATCCCCCTTACCACATAATAAACGGCTCGATCGCGCCATTAACTTTTACGGGGACTTATTTATTTGCGACTGACGTGTGCTGAACTTGTTCAATATCTCTAGAGTAATTTCCGTACAAATTTCTTCCTTTGGAAGCTGATTTCAAGAATTTTTTGATCACCAGCCTTTCCCAATACGATGTTGGGTAGGTGGAGAGCTTTGCAATAGTATGATCCTATCTAATCTTCCTGATTTCCTTCCTCATCATCAGTTTTTCATCGGTTTCCAACTCGGCTAATCCAGGATTTTTGCATATTTGAACACCATTTCCATCATTTCCTCATCATTTTCAATATTTCCTAACCGACTGCCCCCTTTCTGTTCCTCTCAATTGTTTTATCATCCAAACTGTTCTCAAATTCATCACAGATTGAAATTTTTTTTTCTCTGCAATTCACTGAATTTTCATCCCAAACGGGAACCTGTACACGGCTTGGTCCCTGCTGTCTTTCTGTACTACTTTTTCCTATCAAGATAAACCTTATTGTTCTACTAGTCAGTTAAGTTCACCACGCTCCTCTCCTTGCTCCTTCCTGGCTGGTTCCCTCAAGCTCTTGCTGGTTAGCTTTCTCAATTTTTTCTGCATCTTAGCTCCATTTATATGACTTGGTAGCTTCTTTTTCCTTGTCTTTTTCAGCTCTACCTTCGCTTTTTCCAAACTCCTGGGCCCCATAACCATATACCAGTTACGCGGCACATGACCACATTTCTCTAGTCCCATTCGATAAAATCCTGATGCTTACTACCTTGATAAAGGCCCAGATAGGCAACAGCTATCTCTGAGATTCCATCGGGCAAAGTTTTGCTACATACAGCAGTTATTGGCGTTCATGGTTGAAAATACTGATCAAATGATTAGAGAGGTGAGATGGACCCTGCAAGCCAGGGGATTCACGTATTCTGGAAAACGCCGAGTCAATGAAAGGCCCTCCCCTCCTTAGCGACCAAACGACCAAATAAGATCCCCTGGCCTGGTTTACACTCCCATGATGGGCTGCGAACCATTTTACCCTAATAGGGGCTTTGCTGAAAGGTATGGGCATGACAGATTCAAAGCCGCGCTTTGAATTCTTCACCTTTATTCTGTTCAGGCTTCTTTGGGCTCACAGTAATTTTTGAAGGCCAAAGTTTTCGAAAATTTCGCATGGGCTTGATTTTGCCTTCCATTATATCGTCCACATCCACATCCCCCGTTGTATCCGTTTAGGATAGCTTTCACAGACCACCTTGAGTATCTTTCTACAAGGGCTTCAGTAGATGACTGAGATCGCTGGGATCAGAATGCGCATAAGCTGAAGCTATGAAAATGCCCTCATCGTCCTACCGAAGTCAGCCCTACGGCTTGAAATAGGCTCCCAGTCCACGGATTTCCGTCTTCACCTTCACGCGAAGTCACGTAATACTTAGAAAATCCGCCGATGCAGCACTTCCTTGTTGCGACAACATCCTTGTGCACTTTCACTGGTGGCGCTTTCATCTCCCATCTCGCGCTGGGGGTTCTCTCCCAGTTCTTGGTTGTCCGAACACATCAATCCTAATTCATAGAGAGACGTTTTTTGTTGCATGTGTATGTGTCTCTATTTGGTTTTTCTAATGGCGAAGGTAAGAGACGTGTCCCGTTCCCTGAGAGAGTTCCCACGACGTGCTGGTTACTGTACTTCGGAAAGACGTATGGCTGTAAAACTTCGGCGCTCTCAAACTATTTCCTTCACACTTGCGTTATTTACACCACATCATTTCCGAAGCTCCCATTGTCAATGAACTCCATTAATCAAAAACGATGGCCTTCGCTCTAGGGAGTGAGAATGGAGCAGTACCAGGCCAAGGTCCATTGGAATTTTGATGGGATCGCTCGTGGTTCAAAATTTGCTGGGTACATTACCGCTAAATCCCCCCCCTGCTTTCAGAAAAGATCCAGAACCACAGTACTACAAGAAATGTGTCCTGAAGGGGAAGATCCCCATACGGTAGAGGGGGGCAAGTAACCGGACGTAGCCCAGGGCGTGCTATTGATCGATTGGAGGGCGCCGACATCGTAAAACTTGGCCACCGCGCGCTCGTCGCGCCCTTCCAACACCCTATTCCTCTCCTATTTATGACGGGATTAAGAATGATCCTGTCAAAACACCACGGGTGGTCTTAAAATCATCGGAACTACCACATAAAGATCATTATTCGTGTATTGATCGTCTCGTTTACAGTACCCATCAATCAATCAGTCAATCAATGCTCCATGTTCAGATTTTGTTTCCGATCGGTGAACGTCAACTACACACCACATCTATGCTATGATTTCGGTGATGCAGATGATGAACAACGGTCCGAACAACAGGTACGTGCAGATAAATCGATTTCACTACACATGTTCACTGCGTACCAATCGGCTGAGTATCATACGCCAATCGGTGGCGCCAATTAGCCGCGCCACCCAACATCGCCCAGTTATTCTTCAGTGACGACGGGCACAGTAGTGCCTAATCGCAAATTGGGTAATTGTTCTATTTACGAGATTTTTTCGTAAACTTCAGCGCTCGCTCACAGCGATCCCGTTAGGCGTCGGGCGTCATCCAGAACGCCAGAACTGCACTGCGCCACTGTGTGGCCGTTCAGGTGGTCGTCAGATAGCCAGCTAGCTGTGCAAGTGCAGTGGTGTGACTGTTTTGAGTTACCCCCCGTATTCGGCTAGACAGCCTACGTCGTCGCTGTCGCTATCCAACTTGACGCTATGGTTGGCCTATTCGCAAATCCCTATTACAGCGGCTTCAATCTGAACCCGGGAAGCGGACGAAGTCTACCGACTGGCGCCTTCTGGCCACAACATCCACAAACCCAACCGACCAGTGATGCACAGTCAGAACGAAGTAACAGTGAAGCATCGCCGCCTGTTGTGCCAACCAGGTAACGGATCAATACCGATCGATAATTCAAGCCATTTCAATTTGACATTAATACTTAGATTTAGCACGACCGTAAATCACATGGCCCACAACTACACACCTGGTTATCCGGAATGGCAAGCTGCACAGAAAGCATTTGCTGCCGCTCAAAGTGTTAATGGTGCAGCCGCCGGTGCGAAATTCCCACCAGGACCTAGTGGTACGGAACTTTGAATTTATTAATATTTTTAGCTTTTTTTCGAAATTTTTTGAATCAATAGAATTTCTATTTAAACGGTTTGCAGTTGCAATAAATTCTACTGACAATAACAAAGAACCAGTCGCCTCAGTTGAGAGCAATCGCCATTTACGAGCTATTTTTTGACCTGGTTTAATTTGGAGGGGTTACTGTATCTTCCTATGTAAGCTTTTTTAAAGTAGCAGATCGACAAACGACAAATTCTTGCCGGCAGTCTTAAACTCTCATACATGAGACCATTCCCCCAAGGGCAGGCTAAATGTGTCCGGATTAGTTAGCGACAAAGCCATTTGAGGCACAATTCAGGGGGCATGTAAAGGACTCCTAGTGCAGAACTGGTATTGTGCTAGTGGACAGGAGCCTTTCTGCCCAGGTCCAAAGGAAGGGGCTCCAGAGTATTTGAACTAATTAATTCGTTCAAAAAAGGCAGCCCTGCCTTACGGTAAGTCTAGTTTTGCGCAAGGAATCCTTGACTTGCCCCCCCCCCTCCTTGGAAACCTGGCCACTTCTCGAGGTTCTAGTTTTTCCAATAACCGTCATATTAAGGATTCGACATGATGTCAGCGGCAGTGAATCCGATGTGTCCGCCCGAATTCTATCATCCCGGTATTACGTGGCCCGGTTACCAATATGGCCAGCAATATCCGTTCGCCACTGGACCTTATGCACAGCACATGATGGACATTCCTGGCCTTACAGGTTGGTCCGTTTCACCTTTGAATCTCTTTGAAACTCAGTTTTTGGTCGGCTCTGACCCTAGCAAGCCCTTATACTTGGCGGTAGGCCAAGAGTAAGCCACTTGGGCAAAAATTCAAGAGTGGAAAGAAATGTTCGGGACGTGTTAAGATTGAGAAAATGTTGAGAAAATGATAGTGTCAATCATGTAACAGAAGACTAAATAAGGGGCGCAGTTCGGCTTGGGGAGGGGGGGCATTAAACTGTATTTAGCAAAGCTAGTTGAGGTCACTTGTGAAGACTGTAATTCCTCTGGCTCCCTCATATCACCCCGGAGCTTCACAGAAGTTTACAAGTCTCATCGAAATGTAAATTGTTAATTAACATGAACCAGCGAAGGGAACTAGCGGGTGCAGGACGCCCCTTCCAAGCAGAATAGCGCCAAAATATATAATCGTAAAAGTGAGCCAAGAATCCATTATTAAGTGCTCTGAAATCACAGGGCCGAAAAGAAACAAATGCGCCCTAAGTGCTTCACAGAAACCTGACCTTAAAATAGAACGGTAAAAGTGCAACTAGACGGGACTTTCACGACGAAGTGCTAGGCTTAGAAAGATGTTTTAGGAGGATAGGTCTAGGATGAGAGGTGAAGCATCAACAAGGATATTGTTAGGTGATCAGTGAAAGATCCTGGAGAGGCTATATGTGACAAGGGTACCCTAGAAAGGGAAAAAACCGTTCCCTTGTCGACGACGTTGTCTTGGCGTTGGTGTTTGCCGGATGGGAGACGAGCAAATAACCGAATCGATATCGCCTCGCCGTACCATTTACGATGGTCATGAAACTGCCCCGTCCCCGTCTATTTCCACACACATACACACGCCACCACCCTCGTCAACATACGCCCTAACTCCAACTCGTCGTGGAAACATCCCCTGATTCCTTGCTAACTCGCATCTGACCTACGAACCCTTTCTTTTGCTATATTCACGAAGTGCAGCAGTACTCGATGTGGTTCTATCATGCGCGGATACGGTACCTACCGTACCCGGTCGGATAGCGCGACGTGTCATCGGTGTCGGTCGCTTTCAAGTTGTCGCGCAGGACGGACGATTCTGTCTGATACCCTCCGTCTTCGACACACTCTCTTTACTTCCAGGTACACTGACGTCTTCGATTCCACTTTGATTTTCGCTTTCCGTTAGGTTTTCGTCAATGGTACGCCCTTATCGAATCGTAAATATTAGTCGCAGGCATTTTACTTGAGAAGCAACTTTGTACTCGTATGGGGACCAATATGGGAACTTATCTTACAGAAAGTTTATTTGCCGCGATTTAGGAAAGCCGAACATAGAACTACATACGGTAAGTGTGACCAGTGGTTCACCTCTTTGAGTTTTTCCATTACTAACCCCTCACGGTAAGGTATGTGTTTTACCGCAGGCTAGTCAACGAAATGGTGGATTATCTAATTCCGCCAGACCCATTAGGAAAATCGTACATTTTTTTTTATTTTGAAGGGGACCTTCTGGCAGGGTTAGTGCAAGAATGGTATAGGCAACTGCAAAGTTTGGACTTGCTAAGACAAAGGTTCCGATGTACTAGGCTGAGCTTTGGACCGACCCACCTGGTTCTCCTTTAGTTCGCTTTTTTGGAAACTACCCCCTAGTTTTTATTAAACTCCGCCATCGAAAAGGAAACATTAAAGAAAGGCTTTTTTCGAGGCATTTTTTAGTTTAATAGAATGGGAGCATTTTCTGCCAAATGTGTCCCTTCGCCCAGGGTAGCATCTTCCTCTAGTGTCGTTCCTCATAACGTTTTAATCTCAAGAATTCCTCTTGGCGCAGTTCGGCTGGGGGAGGGGGGGGGGCTTTGCACTTTCACTTCTTCCCGTTCTCGTGCCGAGCCAAGAAAAAAAATCTGTGATTCTTGTGGAGCCACGAAGTTATACAATTTAAAATTGTAGAGGCCACTTTTTTCCAAATCTTGTAAAAAAAATACCTGTCAACTCTTGCAATGCAGTGAACACGGCAGTGAGAAGAAACGAATGTGGATACCCCCGTCCCAGGCCAAACTGCGTCCTTCTCCTCCTTTTTTATTTTCCAGTTCTATCCTCTACCAGATCACTTGTGTTGCACGCGTCCGCTTGGGGAACAGGGCACAGCATCGTTGGAAAAATTCTATCAGGGTTTCGTACTTGTTCACTGAGCAGCGATTGCACCAGAAGACTAAATATGGGGGGAGGACTTGTACCGAAACCGCCACTTTACAACCCCGATGCTGTACCCCACTAGGGAAGCTAGGCAATTGACAGGTCATTTAGTAGAAAATGAATAATAATAGTTCCGGAAGAAGTTTCGAGAAGGCGACAGAGAACCTTTTGATACACAAATCAAACTTGTTTATGACGCAATCTTCCGAACATACTAATGTAACCACATTCACCAATCTCTAACAGTAATGGAAACTGTACTGGAAAAATGTTCTCGGTCTACCGTATATGAGTTCACTGTAAAGACTTTGTGATAGCTTTCCCGATAATCTACTGAAAAAGGTAGTTAACTTCAGCTGGAGTTTCCGGAGAGCTTATACAGCGAACTTCCAATTAGTCTTCGAACTTTTTCGCATCCAGGGAAATCATTCCGGATATGCTGGTTTAGTAGTTCCATCCGGACCATCTTTTGAAATCTGAAATTATATGTTTTCAAAACAAGATTCTCAAAGGCTGCTCCCCTTTTTCCAAGTTTTGATTCAGTGATCGATACAAATCAACCAAACGTGCATGGGGTTCATCGCAGCTTGCTTTAGACTGCAATTCTATTCGTTGAAATTTTTCACTAAAGTAAAAGCGCACTAAGGACATCAGACCGTGAACGCTGGCCCGATAGGTGTTTCTGACTTTCAAAGGTGGTAGAAGGTCTTGAAAGGTGCGAGAAGCTGACGGCCTGCTGTGTTTAGGGTTCAAGCCCAGTCCTGATCATGCACCCTCCATATTCGTTTTATAACAACATTTCGGGTTACTCAGGCTGTTTATGAAGTAATGAAGTCAGAGTCAAGGCCAACCTTTTGAGAAAGTTGCTCTATCAAATACTATCTCATGTTGAAGTTTGGTAATGTAGAATCCCCTCTGTGGTCCTCATTCTTATTGCCACATTATTTGCTTCCCAGCCCTTATTAGCTGCAATTTCCATTGTTTTACTGCTCGCTTTCGCCATACAGATTGTATACATTGTTACGCAAAGGTAAAAGTAACTAGTAAATTGGAGGCATTCACGTATTGTCATACGCAGCTATTAGCAGATCCGTGTCCCTTGAAACCAGCAAGTTGCCCAACCCGATGCTTAGACTCCCATTCGGGGTGGCACCAGAGAAGGACTTTCGGGCGGGGCGGGGGGGGGGAGGGTCGTACCTTGCAAAAAACTTCCCCAGCCATAGGAAGAACCCCGGTGGTATCACACTGTGAAAGTAACCCAACGATGAATTCAAGCATGTCTACACTGAGGTGTTCGTTCTCAGCTTAGGTGCTTGTTTTGTCTTGAAAATTCAGAGAAAGGAATTTTTCCAGACAGGTTCCCGGAAGTGGACCTCGCGCTGTTAGCATAGAAAAAGCCCTATCATCGTGAGTCACTAACCTGAACTGCCACCCTATTGTGGTTTCTCCCTTCCCTTCTCTGTCTCTCCCCTTATCCTCGTTGGTCTTCTGTTCAAACTTCTGCAAAACTCCTAGCTGTATAAAAGCACCATTCTCTGGAAAAATCCTATGCTTGTGAGTGGATTCTACCCACATAAGCCGCTTGATATCTCATTTGGGCTCACAGAACTCGAAGGATATCGAGCATGAAGCTCAGCTCCAATTATATTTGCTTTTTTCCTTAACTGGTAAATATCGTAGTTTTCTGGACAACCCCTGTTACGCCGAACT